AATATAATTTCTTTAATATAAATGATTGATGAAATTTTATAATACAATTTTCCATCTTCTCTTAACGTTCATACCGTTAATATTACCTTAAAAATTACACAACCCGTGCATTGCACGGGTGTTAAACTAGTATATGAAAAAGGCTTTAAGTACTGGGCCTACATTTCGCCCAAATCTATGAGGTGGACCGGATTCTGGGCGATCTAACCCTGATTGCCCATGAATAATACTCATACAGAGGGAGAGTGTGTGTCTGGTTGGGAGAGAAGGGAGCAAACATGAAAAGATTTTTCAAGCCAGTGGAGAAAGATGGCTCTTCCAAGAAACCCACAATTTCTGCTTCTTCATCATCAGTAAAAGGAAATGAAATTACCAAAGAAACTGCTGCTGTAGATGAAGAGAAAAGTGAAATCACCAAGAAAGACCCTTTAAAATTCTTGACATGGAATGCAAATAGTTTTCTGCTAAGAATCAAGAACGACTGGCCTGAGTTCTCTAAGTTTATAGAGAATTATGATCCTGATGTCATTGCCATACAGGTGATTTGATCTTCCCCTCCATTTTTACTTCTTTTTTCTATGTCTGCAGTGTAATTTTGAAGCTCGTGTTGGTAATATTAAAATGTTAAAATGTTTTGGCGAATTGGTTTTGATTTTTGAGTTTTTGAACTAATATGCATGTGTTTTATGAAACATGCGAGATGGGTCTTTACGATTAGAATGATACTGTGAGTTAAAAGTTTGGCTTTTGGGGTTGATGTAGTAAGATTAATGGAAATGACCTCACTTAGGTTGATTTTTTGTAAAGTTTCTTTTTATGAAACTGTCTTTTATCTAATAATTTATTGGTAAAAAATTTTGCTTGTTCAGTTTTTTTTTTTTTAAAGTGATATTTCGGTACACAATGAACGGGTGCGTTTGTTGGGTTTGGTGATATGTTTTTGTTTGAATTATATGGGCTTGTTTGGTACAGTGGATAGGACGAGAGGACAGTCGTCATAAAACTCACATGTCTCTCTTTTTTAATACTGTCTATTTTTGTTTAGTCTAGCATACCAAACAAGTTGTATGTCTACTAAGGTAAAACTCATTCGATATGTAGTTTTAGTATCATGATCGAGACACATACATGAGGTTACTAGCATATCGGTTATAGACTTATAGTTGAAGGTTATTGAAGTGCTTGCAATTATACTTCTGAATTAAACAATGAATGGAATTATTATTAGAGGTTTCAAGTCCTCTGTTTATGTACAATCGCTGTACAATAAAGGACTTCCTCAATTTAAGCTGTTATACTGAAATGCATTTCATATAGCTTGGATGTAGAGTTACATTCTTCAGTTGAATCACTATTTGCTATGCGCTGATTCCTGCATGCTTTTTGATTTTGCAAAAGTACTCGTTGTTGATGTCAGATGGCTACATCGATTGCTTTGATAACTAAAGTAGTAAATACTTCAGAATTGAAATACCATGTTTTGTGTATATGTTGTCTTGGAACTAGTATACAAGTACATTAGCTTGTTATAAGTATCAGCTATTAAGTATATCAAAGCTTGTTTAGTAGAATAGCTAAGAAGTTGTGCAATTAGTTGAGAAATTGATATTGCAGCAAATTCATAAAGAAAGCTCTTTATGCAGTTACATATGTTTTCATTTTATCTTGTCTATTTAGGATGGTTTCATTTTACTGTAACACTAACATCTCTCCATTTTTATATTTCTTGTGGGACATTGCGTTCATTTTACCTTTTCTTTCTTTCGTTCTGATCTTCCTTTCTTCTTTTTTAAATTTCTTGAAATACGTGGTTGTATATTCATTTCTGTTTACATGATGATTCTGAATTAGTTAATGTAGAATTGTGAGTAAGAGTTTATCTAACAGCATTGGTGGTAGGAAGTAAGGATGCCTGCAGCTGGTTCCAAGGGTGCACCTAAAAACCCTAGAGAGTTGAAAGATGATACTAAACCTTCACGCGAGGAAAAGCAGGTAATATGTTACTTTGCACCATATTTTGTCTAGTTGTTTGGTAAGTCTTCTAAAATAGTCTCTAATTCTCATTTTCAAATTTTCTTTGCTATTCCTTTCTTGTTTGGTAATGCAATTTGAAGATTGGAGTCCCAAGTCAAATTCTTTTCCCAAAGAGTTTCAATGCTTCAAATGTCATTACATTGATATCTGCTGATTGAGTTTCCAAGTGATAGATATTTTATTTTGGTAATGCAGATTATAATGCGTGCTTTATCGATTCCACCATTTAAAAATTTTAACGTATGGTGGTCTCTTTCTGATTCAAAATATGCTGGAACTGCATTGCTTATAAAAGAGTGCATCCAACCGAAAAAGGTTTCTTTCTCGCTTGATGAAACAGGTTTGTAGTAGATACAAGAGTCAAAATCTTGCTAATGGATGACCAGTTTTATAAATTTTTGCTGTAATGTTATTAAAAGTGAAATGGTACTATAAATCTTCCTAAGCCATTGCCAATTATCATGGCATTTCTGTTGCAAGAAAAATAATAATTGTGTTCACATTCATGTTGGTTAGAAAGATCAAATAAAACAAATAGATGAAAAATATTTTGCATGAAGTCAGATGGAATTATCATATCCCGAGAGCAAAGATTACTAAGGATTTAAACATATTTTTTTAGAGAAGATGATCTATGTATTGATGCTTGCATTTTCTACTTTTGTTGGTGTATAGTTCTTTTGAAGCAAGATTAAAGTCATTTCATGATTGTCGTCCTTTATAGGTTCGAAGCATGAACCTGATGGGCGGGTAATTTTTGCTGAATTTGAATCATTCCGGCTATTAAATACATATGTACCAAACAATGGTTGGAAAGAGGAGGAATCCTCGTTTCCAAGGAGAAGAAAGTGGGATAAGAGGATGCTAGAATTTGTTCTTAGAACTTCTGATAAACCCCTTATTTGGTGTGGCGATCTTAATGTAAGGTACTGTTCCCTCAATAGTATCAACTTTACCTTCCTGTAAGAGTGTATCTCTGTCTCTCTCCTCAGTCCACTTACTGCCAGGTGTCCAACCCTTGACTTCTTTTTCTGTTCTTTTCCTTTGGTTGATTTCGTTTTGAGAGAAGGGATGGATCATTGGTGAATTAGGAGTATGTTCTTGTATTCTTAATGATTGACACTGTTTCGCTTTATATAAATTTTAACCATTTTCAGTGAGACAAAATTCTGAATTTAGTGAACTAATCCAGCAGCTTATTTGAGAAGTACTCGTGTCACAACTCACAACTGTTTCACCTTCCAACTTTGCCTAATGAATTGACTTTTGCTGAATTGTTTACAGTGACATCCTCACTTCTTCACAAACCTCTATTACGCGATATATGTTTGAAATTGCACCAAACAGTTTAACAGTCTATGCATGCTGAAACTTTTAGAAGCTTATGGTAAAATCAGCACAGAAAATTGAGACAAGTTGGATGAATGTGAAAAACTCAGTTGTGCCCTGGTGGTGTTTAACTCTCTGCAATGTCAAAGAAAATAAGCCCTCCACTCTATGGAATTTAGTTTCAGATATTAGCTTTCGTCAAATCTTATGACATTGGTGGACAAAAATGAGCTGGTTTAAATTTTTTAACTTAATTATGCCATGCTCATTTGGAATCGTCTTTACTAGGAAATCAATGGTTATCTGATCACAACAATTTCATCTCTCATTTTTTTTTAATTTCACCCTTACCTCCCGGAGGAGACTCGAACCCAGGTCAATGACTCACGGGGTGAGGCTCTTACTACTTGAGTTAGACGTTGGTCTCTAATTTATTCTCTCATTTGTTTGTTTACTATAATTTAATATTTAAGTTAATAAACAATTTAAGTTGAAGAGGGATTTGTGAAGGATAATTATCTTGTCTCATATTTCATCTCTCATTTGTTTGTTATTATAGTTTAGTATTTATGTTAAGAAACAATTTATGGGCAAGAGGGATTTTGTAAAGCATAATAATCTTGCAAATCTAAAGTTAGTTTGCCATTCCCTAATTTTTTGTGATTGAATTGACTTCCGTCTCTAAAGTCTAGACAAATGCAAGTCTACCGGCTGTTGTATACTTCGGGATCCGACCATGAAAAGTTGCATGTATTTAATGAATATAGACTACATACGAAGTTTTTGGTCATCAATTATAGAAAATTTCTTCCTTCGAGGAAGTCTGTTTGTCATCTACACGTCTGTCAGAGACTTGCAAAATTCACTTTACTGTTTCAATTCATGCTAGATTTTTATGGACTGGATATCCTATTCCACTTGTTACTTATCACTTGGATACTTGCAGTCATCAAGATATTGACGTGAGTCATCCAGAGTTTTTCAGTGCAGCAAAGCTCAATGGTTATGTTCCACCAAACAAAGAGGTGATTCTATGTAGTGTTTTCTTTAAATGCTTGTTGGCTCTACGTCCATTACCCTGCCCGATGTTTATATGAACTTGAATCACGCCTTTTGAGAGAAAATATCTTGAACAGCTAGACTGGAAACTGAGATACTGTTAAAAAATAAAATGCTCCGCATTTAAAAGGTCAAAGGAGTGTCTTGTTTAGTTCTAGTGAATTCATATTGATCTAAATGATATTTTAATATGTATATCTTAATGTTTCATTTTTCTTATTCCTGTCTCCAAAGAAGTCTAAATATGATATTTATGATCCACAGAGAGATAAATTATGAAAGAACATGCTGATGGTGGGTAGCAATTGTTATTTTGCTGATCTTATAAGATGCTGTTATCACCAATCGCTGTCAGTTTATATTTTGTGTGTGTGTGTATTTAGCCCTATAAACGAAGAAAGATTTGTAAAAAAAATTCACATGGAGTGCTAAAACACAATGAAAATTATTAGGCCTCTGTGAAAGATCTTTATACGTATTTTATGTTCTCTAAGCAATAAGGGATGCTGAATAGACTACTTTGGATGCAGGATTGTGGTCAGCCTGGATTTACATTGTCCGAGAGGAAGCGCTTTGGAACCATACTAAAAGAGTATGTTTAAAATACCCATTTGATACTTCCTTTGTTTTCCCATTTGATGCTAGAAGAGTATGTTTAAACTACGCATTCTTCTTGAAGTTATTGATAAAATGTTGTACATACTGCATAGTTTATGAAATGTGCAGTTTATTGCATAATCACTCCTAAGCAAGTACACTCTTGCCATTTAAATATGTAGCGGAACATGAAGTCATGCCAAGGCTCTTAGATCCTGAGGTCATGTATTACTAGCGAATCACCTGCATTTACTCGAACAAGAATCTAAAACAGACCTATACGATCTGAATTGCCTCTGCAAGTTTTCTATCTGACTCCATAGCAAAGCTTGCTCCTGCTTTTCCTTATTCCTTGAATTTCTCCTCATTGATGTCTTGATTCATATTTTGCTATCTATTCATGTGGTAAAGTAGCAGCTGAATTCATTGTTGTTGGAATTGTCTTGCATTTCTTGCTTTTGCCATATTTTGATTGCAATTAAAAGATTCAAATGATGCCACTTTTATAATTGGTTTTTGTAGCAGTTATCCTTCTCAGTAAAAGATCAAATGAATGTTTCTTGCTATGAGGTTGCACTGTTAGTGTTTAATTTCAACCTTTCTGATAATCTGAAACTGTGATTGCTTTTCTACTGTCTGTCAAGGGGAAAGCTAGTGGATGCATATAGGTACCTGCACAAGGACCAAGATATGCAGTGCGGCTTCTCGTGGTCAGGAAACCCTATTGGAAAGTAAGTAGCTATCTATTTTTATGTTTTTATGGATTGATGTGAAAAGCAACTGTGTCTGGTAGCATTTTGGAATATTGGAGAATCTTGACTTGACATGCTTAATTGAGCAAAAAAAAAAAAATTTTTCACTGTACAATATTTTGTTCTTATGCTAAAGTACATCTTCTTATCTTGCAGGTATCGTGGGAAAAGGATGCGGATTGACTATTTCATTGTCTCAGAGAAACTTAAAGACAGGATAGTGGCATGTGAAATACATGGACAAGGGATTGAATTAGAAGGTAATATTTACTTTTATGTTTAACTTACTTGAATTTATGGTCTAGTAAATATCAGACATACAAAATCTACTCAGATTTTCCATGTTGATTGTTTGTTGCATGGCCATTGTCGTAAATCTCAACCCAATCTCTAAGATGAGTCATATTCAAAAATTCTTGTTTCTTGGATTATACTTGACTCATGGGGATTTTTGGCAGTCGAAGTTCAGTTTTTTAAGATATCCCCTTTTGGGAATTTATTGACACATTCAAAAAAAAAAAAAAGAGAGAACATATTCTTTTGGAAAGATAAGGCGAGTTTAATTTCTCTTGTAAAATCTGAGCGTAGAACTCTGCGAATGTGTTTTCATACCAGTCTGAACCCTAGATAAAGGGGAGAATAAAGGTAGGTTGACATATCACGAAAACTTCATCAACTCTCATGACATAAATCCTATTACATAATTCATTGGGGGCATTGGCAATCTAGTTTCTTTAGAAGTAGATTTAGTAATGAATTGAATAGTGTGGCTAAAGGATCTGTATAGCCAACTCAAAATTGTATTGGGAGCAAGGCTTCTGTTGCCATAAAAGCTGAGAGTCAGCAGAATTGCCCATGATTTTCATTGTTATCCTAAGTACAGATGCTTGTAATTCATTACGTACCCCTGTTTGATACATATTCAAACTTGGATACTCTCCAATATGCTCTGATACGTATCGGACACGTGTTGTTTAATTATTCTATATTTTTTAAATTTTCGATACGTATCGAATACGTTAGGGCACTGAAGAAGAGTTTGATTGGTTTTAAACTCTTTTAAAGCTCATTATTAATGGTTATGGATTGATAAAAAAAATTACTTGATGGATAACTATTGTTATTGTCAATAACTTATTGAAAATAGATAATATTTATGAGAAATACACAACTAGAGTTTTAGTCCCTATTTGACTCTCTTTAAAATTAAACTTTTTATTTCTCATACTTATTTTCAACCATAAATTCATACAATAAAATATTTAGTACACATAAACCTAAGACTTTTTTCTATTTTGAAATCACACATTCTCCACAAAAAAAAATCACTATTCAAAATATCAATTTCCTCTTATTCTCTTTATAATGGCCATCAAACAAGAGCTTAATTTAATTGATAATTTGAGGTTTTTATTGAAAATACATATTAGTATTAAATCTCTTAATACATGTAAAATCGTGTTAGTAGTTGACAAATATATTTTTATTATCAAAAATAGATATTGGTATTAAATCTCTATTCGAAAGGAGAGTTCAATATGTGGGACATTATCTGAAACTCATTTGATACTCTTGAAAATGTTGAACTGTTTGAGGTTGCTAATCTATCATTAGATGAAACAGAGTTGGAGTGTTATTTTTAATAATAATGAAGAAGTTGGTGTTGGTGATTTTGAAGAAAATGCAGTTGGGACAATTAAGGATTAAAATAAAATGTTGTAGTATTTTATTATATATTTATTATCATGTTTTGTTTTTATTTTTTTTATGTTAATGAAATTATGGTGAATTTTATGTACTTTATATATATACACGTATTTGTATATCTTACTTTTTTTTTTTGAAAAAAAGAGTTGTATCAACGTACCCATATCTTATCGTATTCGAATTACGTCTCCAAATCGGTGCTTCTTAGGTGTTATTGTGCTCTGGGTAAGCTACATAATGGTAATGTCATTGCTCCATTGTTGTCCCTTAGCAACACGAACCCAAAGTAATAACACGAATAGAATGTAAACCATGCCATATATCTGCTATGCTATGCTTTTAATGTACATTTAGTTCCATGCTCTCTATTTATGTTTCGATGACTTCGCTGGTAAATATCTAATTTATATTTTAACCATTTACAGGTTTCTATGGGAGTGACCACTGTCCAGTAACACTCGAGCTTTCTGGTGCGAGTCCTAA